CATCCTGTCAAACATGACGTGTGCACAGAGCTTTAAAACAAAGAAACATGACAGCTCCCGGCCACGAAGTGCTTACACACCAAATAGCTATGACAAAACAAGGGCGTGACCATCAGCAAAAGGCGGGCGGGGGGGGGGAGGAACAATGAAAGAATAAAGGTTACAACAGTGAGGAAGTCTGAGATAATCATGCTGTGTTTGTGCCCTAGTTCAGTAAATAAATTAATGGAGATATCCTATCTCCTAGAGATGGAAGGGACCTTGTTGAGTCCAGCCCCCTGCCTTCACTAGCAGGACCAAGTACTGGTTTTGCCCCAGATCCCTAAGTGGCCCCCTCAAGGATTGAACTCATAACCCTGGGTTTAGCAGGCCAATGCTCAAACCACTGAGCTATCCCTCCCCCCTAAGTTGACCAGAGTTCATCTCTTCATAACTCATTTCCTCCTCCATGTAAGGCTGCAGCTTTTCAACTTGCCTATCTGCACTGACTCTTACTGTGCTGTTCATCAATCCTTGTCTTTGCAGTGCCTACATAGACAAAGCCAGCGACACAGCCGAGCAGGTGATTTTGATAGACAGTCAGCTGAACTCCCCCGAAGGCCTGGCGATGGACTGGGTTCACAAGAACATCTACTGGACAGATTCGGGAAACAAAACCATCTCTGTGGCCACTGCTGATGGAAGCAAGAGGACAACACTTTTTAGCACTGACCTAAGCGAGCCCAGAGCCATTGCAGTTGATCCGACACGGGGGTAGGTGTGAAGATGGAGTTCTGCGTTATGGCATGTTCCAGTCTTGTTTTCACTCCTCTCATGAGCTCTCAGACTCTGGCTAGGACTGCTGACATGCTGAAAGTTAAAGCGCACACGTAAATCTTTGCAGCGCCGAGTCAAAAGCAGCTTTGAAATTACATCTCAGAAATTCTTTTGCACTGTTCATGTGTCAGATGGGGACGAGCTGGTCCAGTTTAAAGCAGGGTACGTAATTTGTGATGAAAACTGAGGTAGTCTGATGCACAGCTGAACGAGCACATGTTTTTAGTGCTGGATACAAAGGCCAAAGATCCAGCAGAAATTCCAAGAGCTATTTCACAGGTACTAAAGAATGTTTTTAAGCCCTGGTGTAACACAGTCCTGCAATATGTGCTCTTCACGTTAGTTCATACAGTAGGAACCCATCAGCTCCATTGCGCAGATGTTAAAATGGATTAGAATAGCAAAGGCCTAAAACACTGAGTACAAAGGGCACCACACCTCCTGATTTAAGAAACCTACTCAAATGATGCACACGCATCTCTTGGGGTAGGGTCAGTTCTGCATTTAGTGTGAGTTATTGACTTTTCCTTTCTGTGGCTTTCAGATACATGTACTGGTCTGATTGGGGAGACAAAGCTAAAATTGAAAAATCTGGCCTGAACGGTATGGATCGGCAAGTGCTGGTAACAGACAACATTGAGTGGCCGAATGGCATCACACTAGGTAAGTCGCAGAATCGGTAATAGATCAGTGCAAGTGATAAAGCTCCCTATGTCTGTGGCCTCTTTAAATTTATGTTTATTGTCATACAGGAATGGGAAAGACAACATAATCCTTGAAAATCCAGGCTGCTTTGATATGACAAGCATCTGTCATACACACAAGTGGCCAGCAAGTTCCCTCTAATTCACTGGGGTGGCTTGCCTCCCATAGTGCCCTCTCGTGGGACTTGGGTGGCATCTTACACGGTCCCAGGCTCCTGTGGGCAGGGCAGCTGTAAGTCTGGTGAGGCCAAACCCCACAATGCCTCTGGGCTTCAGTCATCCAGTTACTTCAGTTGTCAGAGGCTCCTAGGTCTTCTCCATAGCCTCCCTGGGCTGGGGAGACAGTGCTTACTCCCTCGTGGCTGCCTCAGCTGGCAGGCTAGTCACCCCTCTCCGGTAGGGAGGCAGCTAGCTCCTGCCTCTTCACCAGTCAGCCCCGAACTGAGCCAGACTCTCTCCTTTTCTCCCCCAAGAGGCCTGACATTAGCTGCAGATATAATGAGGTGGGACTAGCTGAACCCAAAGGTTCTCTTTAACCCCTGCTGTGATGGCAGGCAATTTTGTCCACTACCTCACAGGCTACTACTACTGTTACTAATTCATAATGTGACGGGTTGGATCACAGAAACCCCCTTGGGAGCTGCTACCTAATGTACCAAGACTACTTCTGCTCCTGTTTTCCCTGCCAGCTCAGGACTCCAGCACCCTGTCTTGCTGAGCCGGACACTCCCGTCTGCTCCAACACAGACCCAGGGTCTGAATTACTTGCCCCAAAGCTGCAGGTTTACCTGAAAACAGCTCACAGAACTGTGCTTGTCTTTAACACTCAGATGCCCAACTCCCAATGGGGTCTAAACCCAAATAAATCCGTTTTACCCTATATAAAGCTTATACAGGGTAAACTCATAAATTGTTCGCCCTCTATAACACTGATAGAGAGATATGCACAGTTGATTGCTCCCCCAGGTATTAATACACACTCCGAGTTAATTACTAAGTAAAAAGTGATTTTATTAAATACAGAAAGTCGGATTTAAGTGGTTCCAAGTAGTAACAGACAGAACAAAGTAAGTCACCAAGCAAAATAAAATAAAATGCGCAAATCTATGTCTAATCAAACTAAATACAGATAATCTCACCCTCAGAGATGCTTCAGTAAGTTTTTTCCTCAGACTGGACACCTTCCTCAGACTGGGCACAATTCTTTCCCTTGGTACAGCTCTTGTTCCAGCTCAGGTGGTAGCTAGGGGATTCTTCATGATGGCTCCTCTCTCTCCTCTTTGTTCTGTTCCACCCCTTTATAAATCTTTTGCATAAGGCAGGAACCTTTTGTCCCTCTGGGTTTCCATCCCCCCCCACTGGAAAAGCACCAGGTTAAAGATGGATTCCAGTTCAGGTGACATGATCACATGTCACTGCAAGACTTCGTTACTCACTTGCCAGCACACACATACACAGGAAGACTCACAGGTAAACACAGCCATCTGCAGACAATGGTCCTGGTTAATGGGAGCCATCAAGATTCCAAACCACCATTAACGGCCCACACTTTGCATAATTACAATAGGCCCTCAGAGTTATATTTCATATTTCTAGTTTTAGATACAAGAGTGGTACATTTATACAAATAGGATGATCACACTCCGTAGATTATAAGGTTTGTAATGATACCTTACAAGAGACCTTTTGCATGAAGCATATTCCAGTTACATTATATTCACTTATTATCATGTTTTTATAAAACCATATAGACTGCACAACGTCACACATAACATTTGCCCTTGTTATTAGTTAACCAACAAATTAATGCTTAGGATTTCAACCCAGAGCTTGAAATGATTGCTTTTATGAGTGGCAATCACCCCTTTGCATTGAGGTTAGTTGATCTCATCCAAAATTAGAATTTGTCCCAGGAAGAAAAGCTCAGTTCATGAAGTCCTACAGTGGCACGAGTCACCTTCTCCCACTTCTTCCCCGCTTGTCCGTGAAATGAAATATACTTGAATCTGAAACCTAGGAATGGCTTCGAGAAAGTGGGATTCCCCATCACTGGAAATGTTTAAATCAGGATTGGATGTTTTCCTAAGAGATGCTCTAGTTCAAACACAACTATTAGACTTGACGCAGGAATTAATTCATGGAAGTTCTATGGCCTGTATTATGCAGAAAGTCAGTCCAGATTATCACACTTGTCCTTTCTGCCTTAAAATCTATGAATTTATGAAAAGGTGAAGTCACTCAGCATTGGAAACCACCATCATTATTAGCATTAATTGCACCTTCATCAGGAGTCTCAGCAAAAAGCCACAGATTAAGTGGTCTGGAGAATGAACTAGCCTCTCAGCCTTCGAAAAGATCCTTCCAGGCAAATCCAGGCCTACACTACAGACCGATCTGGGTATAACTCCATTGCCATGGGGTTTGACAAATCCAGCCCCCTGAGCGATGCAGTTATACTGACCAACCCCCACTGTCTCATGTCGATGGGAGAGCGGCTCCTGTTGATATAGCGACCGCCTCTCAGGGAGGTGGCTTAACGGTGCTGATGGGAGAAGCTCTCCTGTCGCCATAGTAGCATCTTCACTAAAGTGCTACAGCGGCGCAGCTGCACCAGTGCCACTGTAGCGCTGTCTGTGAAGACAAGCCCAAATTTGAGGGACATTGCTGGGGTGGAGTTGAGAAGCCAGCAAGGCCGCTGGCCTGTTCTACTTGATCAGAGAGGGGACTACTTCACAAGCCGGGCTGTCAATCGAGCAGCTCTCACAAACACAACAGCATGTTATTTAGGGGTGCCTGGGTCAGCGTATCTGGGCAGTGAACCAGAGTTTCAACCACCATAATAAATAAAAGGACTCGACAGCCCACGGAGAAGTAGCCACTCTGCCAACAGGAAAAATATTGGGCAATAGCAAAAAGTGCTGTAGTTGCATGTACAGTAATTCTCCCTGGTCACATTTCCTGTCTCAGATTTGCTGAATCAGCGTCTCTATTGGGTGGACTCCAAGCTGCACTTACTTTCAAGCATTGACTTCAATGGCGGCAATAGGAAAGTTCTCATCTCTTCTGCTGATGACCTGAGCCACCCTTTCGGAGTAGCTGTGTTTGAGGTAAGAATGGGTGCAGAGCTGGCTGGGGAGTGCAGGAAGCCACAGGATCTCTTTCTACACACCTCTTGCTTGAAAGTTGTGCCCTGTAAATGGCACAGGAAGCTCCTGGGCTGTGTCAGCTGCTGCAAAAAGCCATTAATCCGGTGTGAGTTCAGCAAGGAGTATTCCTTCCCCAAGAGCGGCAATCAGTCAAATGCCACTATGTAATGCATTACTTGTGTGGTGGGGAGGAGCACCCTGCCTAAACTGGCATCGCCTGCACAGCTGACGTGGGCTAATGGCACAATTAGATTTTAGTCACGTTAACTGCTTGTGTAATGGCCAAATCACCGGCAGGAGAAAACGCAGGCAGGTTGCTATGATTATTGTCAGGCCATATGGGTGTTTCACTAACTAAAGGCCTGATGCTGCTGAGTGAGCATCTCCTGTGAGATAAGACTTCAGTAGGAGCTTCACAGGAGGTGCTAAAGCCTCCTGTTAGGATCAAGCCCCTTGAACACGGGGCATCCCCTCATCTGGGTGCATGGCAGGGATTTATGTGCCCGCTTCGGATGGCTTTGAATGTGACACTGCAGCTTGCTCTGAACACTTCTTACAACTCATCTGCAGTGTGATTTCCTGGCTTTGCATTTTCCCAGACCCATGCCGCATGTGCTCCCTTCCTCAGCCTGGCAGATTGCTAATTGTTTGCGCAGTCATTATATGCTACCGCTTGTCAGTCTGCAACAAGGATCAGTGTACCCAGATAGAAATCTGTACAAGCCCTTTGGGAGCTGGCGGTGATGTTAGTGGGGAGCCTCTCTGCCTGGGAAGAACTGAGAACCCAGTGCACTTGTCTGATGGCAGGATTTAACCTCAGGAAAGTGTCGTTTACTTATCCAATTTAAACATAAACCCAGACATTTCTCTCCCTTTCAAGCTGAGTTGGCCGTGCTCTGGTGCACAGCCCTGACAGCTGAAGGATGCACACTCTACTTGCCACAAAATTAAGAGCTTGATCCTGTAGGCACATACTGCCCCGGTGTGCTTATTGGCATGCATAGCCTTGCTGATTTTAGTGGGACTGTGCATTAAATTAAGCACGACATGAACAGTGTTTGCAGAACTTTTACAGTGTTTGTTAACCAAGAATATGCTGTATACCCCCTTCCTCCATCTGAATCTTTTCTCAAGATAAAGGAACATCTCCTGAACTAGCTCCTGAGAACCCACCCTTCCCCCT